CCCCGAATTAGAAAAGAATTTAGAGACTCATATCACGATCACAAATAAATCGACACCCCAGAAAATTGCCGCGGACCCAACCAACTCATTCAAATCTTGGCTCATTCCATATGCAATTATCCTACATAAAAAAGATCAGCCTTATTAACAAATCATTATATCTACGATCCATAGAACCTATCATAAATCTCATACGTCAGACTACCACCACAAGTCTGCATACACGCCAAACGTTACTTCTAAAATGCAAGATGCAATCCTCTTTACACATCAATCGAAATTCGAATACGTAACGTGCGTTGGGTTTCGTATCGATCGTCTCATAAATCATTTTCAAGTGGTGTTGCCCTTCCAAGGCCAACCCCCCATAATTTCGAAAACGATCGACTCATACCCCTTGTATGATCATCCATTTCTAAAAAAAATAAATAGATGTTGATCTATTCCTAGATGATAAATCTAAAAAGAAATATCATTTGAAAATAGAACATAGAGATTTTTATAACTAGACAATTCCAACCAAAAGAAAATCGTTAGTTCCGGATTCTTCTAGTCTACTTTCGTAGGACATGTATTATCCTAGAATGCTACGAAAAGGGGTCCTGCGTATTGGAGGGAAAAGAAAATATGAAAAACTTGCCGCTCACACTACAGCTTGATACTTTCTCCTTGGCAATGGGATCCCATTGAAACAAGTACAGCTCTCACTGGCACTCACTTCCACTTTGGCAGGATCATAATCAAGTCATGTGAGAAACACGCGTTGCGCGGCATAAATCTTGAAGCTGCAGAATGTGGTGATATCAGGTGCAGAAAGGTCAAACTGGATGAGGATCACATCACTGCACTGTGCTGTTGCTGGTAACCATCGGGTCAGTTCTTTCGAAGATTGCTCCTCGAAGATTGCTGCTTCAGGTAGATTCTTTTGCATCATGGGGCATTTGATGCAAAACGCGCCGATGTGGCCTCCCACAAGTGAAAGCAACGAAGATGACTCTGCAGCAGGAGCTTCTCAGTGCCATGAGAGAAAAAATCAAGAGCATGCTGTGCTGCGCAAGGCCGAAGTCGATCTGAAAGAATGGGCAGCGTGGCTTTGACAGGCTGCTAGGCGGCGAGGCCTCACCAAACACGACGATGACATAAGAAGCTGGATGGCTGCTCTGCTGACACCATTCCAGGTTGGGCAAGATGGAAGAATGTTACGGTAAGAAAGAGCAGGTTCGAGAAACAGAGTATGCTGTGCTGCGTCAACGAAAACAACGGACTCTCCGGGCACGAGGCCGACTGCACATTCTGGCACTTCCACAAGGCAAGCTGGCACTGGGGCAAGGCAAGCTGGCACTGGGGCAAGGCTGCACCAGGGGTCTCTGTGCCATGTGAGAAGAAAAAGGTTCAAGAGCATGCTGTGTGCTATACAAGGCCGAAGTCGATCTGAAAGAGTGGGCAGCGTGGCTTTGACAGGCTGCTAGGCGGCGAGGCCTCACCAAACACGACGATAACAGCACACTCCTGGCGCTTGCACATAAGAAGCTGGATGGCTGATCTGACGACACCATTCCAGAGGGTAAGAAAGAGCAGGTTCGAGAAACAGAGTATGCTGTGCTGCGTCAACGAAAACAACGGACTCACCGGGCACGAGGCCGACTGCACATTCTGGCACTTCCACAAGGCAAGCTGGCACTGGGGCAAGGCAAGCTGGCACTGGGGCAAGGCTGCACCAGGGGTCTCTGTGCCATGTGAGAAGAAAAAGGTTCAAGAGCATGCTGTGTGCTATACAAGGCCGAAGTCGATCTGAAAGAATGGGCAGCGTGGCTTTGACAGGCTGCTAGGCGGCGAGGCCTCACCAAACACGACGATAACAGCACACTCCTGGCGCTTGCACATAAGAAGCTGGATGGCTGATCTGATGACACCATTCCAGAGGGTAAGAAAGAGCAGGTTCGAGAAACAGAGTATGCTGTGCTGCGTCAACGAAAAAAAACGGACTCTCCGGGCACGAGGCCGACTGCACATTCTGGCACTTCCACAAGGCAAGCTGGCACTGGGGCAAGGCAAGCTGGCACTGGGGCAAGGCTGCACCAGGGGTCTCTGTGCCATGTGAGAAGAAAAAGGTTCAAGAGCATGCTGTGTGCTATACAAGGCCGAAGTCGATCTGAAAGAGTGGGCAGCGTGGCTTTGACAGGCTGCCAGGCGGCGAGGCCTCACCAAACACGACGATAACAGCACACTCCTGGCGCTTGCACATAAGAAGCTGGATGGCTGATCTGATGACACCATTCCAGAGGGTAAGAAAGAGCAGGTTCGAGAAACAGAGTATGCTGTGCTGCGTCAACGAAAAAAAACGGACTCTCCGGGCACGAGGCCGACTGCACATTCTGGCACTTCCACAAGGCAAGCTGGCACTGGGGCAAGGCAAGCTGGCACTGGGGCAAGGCTGCACCAGGGGTCTCTGTGCCATGTGAGAAGAAAAAGGTTCAAGAGCATGCTGTGTGCTATACAAGGCCGAAGTCGATCTGAAAGAGTGGGCAGCGTGGCTTTGACAGGCTGCCAGGCGGCGAGGCCTCACCAAACACGACGATAACAGCACACTCCTGGCGCTTGCACATAAGAAGCTGGATGGCTGATCTGATGACACCATTCCAGAGGGTAAGAAAGAGCAGGTTCGAGAAACAGAGTATGCTGTGCTGCGTCAACGAAAACAACGGACTCACCGGGCACGAGGCCGACTGCACATTCTGGCACTTCCACAAGGCAAGCTGGCACTGGGGCAAGGCAAGCTGGCACTGGGGCAAGGCTGCACCAGGGGTCTCTGTGCCATGTGAGAAGAAAAAGGTTCAAGAGCATGCTGTGTGCTATACAAGGCCGAAGTCGATCTGAAAGAATGGGCAGCGTGGCTTTGACAGGCTGCTAGGCGGCGAGGCCTCACCAAACACGACGATAACAGCACACTCCTGGCGCTTGCACATAAGAAGCTGGATGGCTGATCTGATGACACCATTCCAGGGGGTAAGAAAGAGCAGGTTCCAGAAACAGAGTATGCTGTGCTGCGTCAACGAAAACAATGGACTCACCGGGCATGGATGGCACCACTGCACCGAAAAGGGCCTTGCCTGATCTGTTGACACCCTTTACTGGTGAGCAGGTGGGCAAATCGGATGCCAAGTCACGGCCAGGAGCCCTGGATGAGAAAAGGAAAGTCTTCCGGAGCATGCTGTGCAAAGGGCTGCTAGGCGGCTAAGCCTCACCAAACACTAGAGTGACAGTATAGACTCCTGTGCTGTGCCAGAGTCTTCTGGCGGTATACTTGCCGAAGCTTCAACCTCCATGTCAGGGCCTCAGGGATCCGAATTCAACTTGTTGGGGGGGGTCAGGGCAAGTTTTAGGCGGGGGTGGTAGGGGTCAAGCCGAGAGCTTTAAACATCAGCCACAGACAAATAGTCACCAATTGCACTTTGAGCTCATCATACCGAGTTCAGAAGCCACCATAGCTGTGCAGGGGTCAGTCTCCATTCCCTCCCCTCACCCTCGCACAAGACTGCAACTCTCTTCTGTGATGCTCAAGGTTCGGTTTGCTTAGAGCTTTTCTGACACATAAGCCCCATTAAAGCTTTGGGTTCTGTGAGCATTTCTACGAGGGAGGGGTTGGTATTGCATGTAATTGCAGCGTTTCTAGCTTCGTGCTCCATGGTGGATGTCTTGTTTACATCTACGTTTGCCCTTGGGGTGCAGCGGCTGCTGCTACTTCGCGAATATTGCCATTTCCATTGCTGCTATTGCTCTTGCTCGTCTTCCTTTACTCTAAACCCTCAACCCTAAACCTGCGAAACGAATTGAAGAAACGAGACGCAGAAGTCCCTCATGAAACTTTAACGGATAGGTGCACCTCTTGAGTTCGAGGAAAATTCTGCAGGTCTCTGCACTCGGGTCTAGGGTTTATGTAGGGGGAGGCGTGTACATGGTTTGCCTGGTGTTTTCGGCGATTTCAAAGGAGGTCACTCGGAAGGGGCGACGCTAACATGATGGCCGCTTTGGGGGCCATTTGCTGATAAACGAGTTCCGGAACCAACATTCGACCCAAACCAGTGTTTTCAGCCCCTCATGCCTCCAAACGCACCATTGTTTGCACGTTGTTCCCGTGGTAGAAGCCTAAACACTCGTGAATAACGATGTTTCCAGCATCCACAAGTAAGCCTGGCAGCCGGAAACCACCAGGCAAACTATGTACACGCGGCCATGTAGGGTTTAGGGTTTGCAAGGCCGACGGGTCCTTTGCGTGGAGGGCGGGGGGGGGTGGGTGGGAGGGGATTGGGCCTCTGAAAGCAGCTCAAAAGAACTGCACGAAAAATAATGCCATAGCAAGGAGAAACACACGTTACAGACAAAAGCTTCATAGTACAGTCATATTAGTATTCTTTAAATAATAACAGTATAACAATTGTCATAGCAATAACCATAGCAATAGTGGATCTGCTTTGCATTCCTCACCTTGGCTGTGCCCATCGTCTTCCTCATCGATGGCCTCCTCTCCCCCGTCGCCTACCACAGTGGGAAAGCGATGGCCGGCAGGATGCCTGCCCAAAGCAGAGCCATAGAGTTGCCTTCGCTCGCTGTCACAGGTGGTTGCTCGTAGGTCTGGCCGAGAAAGTCTTTCAGCACTGGGTTTCCGGCCTTGGGGCCACGGGTTATGCGTTAACAGTTTTGATGCAAGTTGCGGAAAGCACTCATGAGATCGCGCCTCGTCCGTGGGAGACTGCTGCTCATAGATAATCGGTGGCCTGACGCTTTTAAGCCCGACTGCTGTGATGCCGATACTGGCCACGGAGTCCTGCCAAGGCTGGTCTATGAGGTAAAGCACAATGTAAACCGTGGCAGTCTGGAGCCCACTTTGTGGACCGTCAAGAGCTTTGAAGGGGGCTGTGCCCTAAAGCCCAAACCCCTAGACCTTAACCTAAACCCTCTAGAGGACTTTCAAGGCTCCTGTAACAGGGCGGAGGCTGAAGAGTTGAGAGACCCCGCCGACCGCACCCAGGCATCAGCTCTTCCGGCAGGCACTGCAAGTTCGTACCTCTACAAATTAAGCGCCGAGATCATGTCCGGGGTTTAGGGTTTAGGGATCAGGAATTAGGGCTCATGGGCCTTTTCGGAGGGTCTCTATTCATTATGATTTGCAGGCCCAACATTTTGAACAACCCCGCATGTTGAACTTTGCTGGTCCTTAGTAGGGAATAAGGGCATGAGGCACCATAAATAATCCCATTTAAGGGCAATATGGGGGAATATGAGTGTACCGAACTCCCTCATGTCCTACGAAGCACCAGTGGGTTAACTCGAGTTTGAGGTGACACATCAATGCTGAAACGCCTTGCTGAGACGTGGACTAGTCTACGTTAGGCCTTTTGTTTTTGCTATTTCTTAAAGATGGTTTTGGGGGGGAACTAAACCACAACCTAGGGTTCGGGCAAGGCTCGGCTGGTTTGCCCCCGGCACACTCGAATGTTTTCTCAATGGCTGGGCTGAAAGATGCACTACTTCAGTTTCGACTCTACAAAAGAAACAAGGCGCAACAAGCAACTACCGCCAGTCTCTAGGATCTTTGCACGGTACAACTAGAGATACAATACACATCGAAGTACTGTGGCCCATTTCTACCTAGCCTCCAAGACATTGCAGAATACATGCATGCAACCTCACACCTCATGCGTCTTGGGACCTTATTGCCTGGAATATGCCCAACAGTTTGAGTTTCGGGTTTAGGTCCAGGCGTTTCGGGCCTAGGGTCTTGGTCTTGGACGCCGTGGCACGAAACGAGTGATGCCCAGGCTTCGCTGCCATTTCCAGCACTTCGCGAGTCGAGCCGCCGCGGGAAGTCGCTCTCCACCTCCAGGCGCAGGAGATGTCGGGGACCAACGTCATAGTGCTTCCTCAGGTCAGGCGGGGAAGACCCGTACTGTATTTGGGGGTTTGGGCCCCCAATTGTCGGAAGTCCCCGTTTGAGGGAGTAGGGTTTAGGGGTTGTGGGACGAGGGAACAATCAGTACACCAAGCCGGGCTACAGGACCAGCTCCTGCGCAAGCGCCCCAACCAGGTCGGACATGATGCCTTGCCCCTCCAGCAAAAGGGTAAAGCGATGAGCGAGGACCAGGATCCACTGGAGCGGTAAATCCTCAGGGGGCTCCCTAAGTTCCTAGCTGCCACCTTTCGAGGGCCACGTGTTCGGGAGGTGATCATGCACAGGTTGACATAGGGTCTGGGGTTTAGGCTTTAGGGTTTAGGGCGGCGCATGCAAGTTCCAACCTACGGAAGTGTAGCCAGTTCGTCTCAAGTTTTGACGCTTAGCCGCCACACCAACTAGTTCAGCGTTTTGGGTAGTGTGCCTAACCTGTTGGTGGGCTCTCCCTGCTAAACCAGCAACCCTGAACAGCTGGTCACGGTGGGGCTTGCCCAAAGTCCCCCCAACATCCTCAGGGACACAGGCGGTGAAGCCCACCAGCTCAGAGGCGGCACTCGCATTCCCATCATCTTCGGCCAAGGGCATGCACCTGTTTAGGGACGAGGGTTCAGGGGTGCAAGGCTTTTACCCAAACCCTGAACCCTCATCCCTAATACGTTGCGACTCAGAAGTCGAGTCGGACGTGCTAACAGTAGTGATGTCACACATGCCAAGGATGAGGGGTTGAGTCCAAATCACGGGCCCTTTACGGGTCTCCATGATAGTTTAGGGTACCAAAAGGGGGCCCGTACGTTTGATCCAACCCAGCACAGACGGAGCTACTACTAGGGTTGAGGGTTGTTATGTATCTTCTTTCCCCCTTCTAGCTGTCGCTCCACGGGGCCTTTGCATAGGGCTTAGGGTTTCGGGGTTAAGGCTGAGGGGAGTGCTACGAGTGCTACAACTGCAAGTAGCGGCATCAGCACCGATGCTACACTGCAAACCCCTTAACTGTGTGAGGTGCTACCGGGCCGATGCGCCTGTAAGCACCGATGGGTCTCAATGGCGGCGGGCACCAGTCCAAAGAACACGTGGAGCCAGCGACGATGTCGCCCGAGCAGTTTGTGGCATTGAGATCCCATGTCGTCCTTGACAGGAGTTTCCCGGCATCGCAGGTTGGCATCTCTGCGTTCGTAGATGTGGACGTGATGGTGGACGTGATGGTTGGTGTGATGGTTGACGTGACGGTTGGTGGGGCAGTTGATGTGACGGTCATTGTGATGGTCGCTGTGATGGTTGATGTGACAGTGGACGTGGAAGCCAGGGTACCAGTAGATGTTTGTGTGTCGGAGCTTACTGCTGATGTTGTGCTGGCGCTAGCTGTGTAGCTCTTCGTGGAAGTGGAGCTCGACGCGTACGTTCTGGTGCTTGCAGTTCTCGATGTGGTGACTGTGGAGCTCTTGGTCAACGTCCAAGAACGTGTGCTTACAGTGGATGAGGAGGTAGAAGATCGTGAGGTGGTTCGACTCTCGCTCGAAGAGGTTGTGTGAGTGACCGCTGTGCTCGAAGAACTGGAAGTCCAGGTGCTGCTTGTCATGCTCGTGGTGCCGCTGGAGGTTGTAGTGTGTGTTGCGCTCGTGGCGCTACTTGTAGTGCTGCTCGTAGTAGTCGTCCTGCAACATGTCAGCTACATTTAGTTACACGAAGCAGCTCTTCTACTGCAAACTGAATGTACACGAAAGACGGTCGGCAGGTTGCCTCCGCTTGGTTGCTGGAAGTGTCAGGAAAATGAACACAAAAAACGGCGCTCCTAGCACCAAGGATGTTTCCGACACCCATTGTCTCAAAGCCGTCAGCATCCAGTGCCGTACAATCGAATTCCCCCAATGGCAAGCTGGTGGACACAACAGCGAGTGAGGCATTCTGCTCTCCCAAACCCTGCACTTGGCATGACACATCGATTTCGCTGTCGATTTCGCTGGAGAAGTTTGTACAGAAGGAGCATCCAAGATTTTTGATGGTGGTGGATGGCCCTGCCATCCCGAAAATCTCCAGCTGCAGCACAGGTGAAGAAGCCAGTGTGAAGAGCGTCTCACTGGGAAAAGACAAGCTTGGCGGGCTGCTACCAAATGGAAGGACTTGCCTCGAATACCCGAAAACCCCAACAATATACTGTTTCTATTCTTCCCTTGGAGTTTGGTACCTTAAACCCTAAACCCAAAAAAAAAAGACATCCCAAGTGGAATACAGTTGCTTGTCTGCCTCTTGGCTCCGCGCTGCATCCTCCAGTGAGGCCTGTGCCACTTCGGGTCCGGCAACCTCCCAATCGAAGCAGCAGCTGCGGTCACCTGGAAGTTGGGTTTAGGGCTGGGTAGATGCATATCCCTCCCCCCCCCCTCCCCCCCCTGCTTTTTTGGAATCTCCTGCAATGGCCCTACGTATTTGGGCCCTTGTTCCTGCAGTGATTGTTTGCGGGCCCAGGCCCCGGGTTCTTCAGTATTCAATATCGGGTGGCGTCCAAAATCCAAGATCCAAGATTGCCTGGAAGAATTCCGGAGCAATCTTGGATACTGGGCCGCCCGATATTGAATATTGAGCCCCATTCTCAATATTGCAATACTGGGCCTGGCACGAGTCCTTCCTAGGGATATGAATGACGGAAGCAGGTGTCGCAGAGATTCCCCACAAAAGGCCACCAGACATGAGAGGCACGTCTGAATGTGTTTTAGGAATGTATTTTTCCCCGAACAATTTACTGTAGGGGTTCCTGTTTCCTCCTAAGAATTTCGACCTAGTCGGATGCTCCGGCCGGGCCTTGGGTTGCTGGTCTCCGCTTGTCTCCCTTTGTCTCCCTTCATGCAAATACCCTGAACTAAGTCCCTAAGCTGCTGAGTTCGCATGTAAAATATTATATTCAAACTAGGCTTGCTGGAACATTTAGAATAATTTGCATATTTTCCGCCTCTCAGTTCGCATTTAAAATATTCAAAAATGGATGATTCCATATGCTGAATATGTTGCCTCTCATTCACAGTCACAATATTCAACACATGGGAAAAACAATACGTGAACCAGGTTCAATCATGTTCAATTTCAAGGGTGGCGGCTCTCCGCAGGTAGGGTGAACCGCCGTCAAATATTCAAATTTCTCGGACTGCCCGATGGCGTCAGATTATACGTACTCTTCCGTCTTTCGGGAGGGTGGGGGGATTGAGGCAGAACCAAGATAAGTCGCCTTCGCACGCTGCCGGGCAGGACTCGATTTCCGAAGAGAACAAAGGCCAGTACGAGCGGTCGCAAGCATGGAAGTGCTCAGGAAGAAAAAGGGACTCTGCTGCATCAGTGATGCACCATGAAAGCCTCAGCTACATCAAACAACACTCTAGAACGATACCAGAAGCCCGACAAGGATGCATGCAGCATGCCTCGCAAAGCCGAGCAGCACAAACTTCTCATAAATTTCTTCCAAAGAAGAGTTGCCTGCTAGGATGTCAGCAGAGTTGAAGATGCGCAGGTCATCTGATGCTTCGCCATTGTTGTTGCCCATGAGCCCATCGGTCATGTTGAAACACTCATCTTTAACAGCGACTTCAAGAAAGAGGTGAGCAGCGTGAGGGATGACCATGACTTCGTTCCCCCCCGCTGCAATCATGAAAGTGTTGTTCAGGCCCGGCTGGATGACGATGCTCTCTTCATCGGAATCTTCAAGGTCTTCCACGAGGTCTCCGTTCATGTAGAAGTAAAGAGCGGATTCATTAGCGCTCACATTTTCGCGCAAAAGGCCGTAAGCAACATCCTGGCCCAATCGGATTGCGAAGCCTGTGATGACAGTTCCGCGCGCATGATTGCCTAGCTGATCTGCAATCACATGCAATGAGAAATCCCCACATCTGGTCCAGATGGCTTCGCCCAGGAAGTTGCCTTAGCTTGGTTGGTTCACAAGGACAGAATCTGACCTGCCAAAGGAATCATTGGGGTTTAGGGTTTAGGCATGCACATGACTTGTGGAGGCCCGGGAAACAAGAGCATGTCTGCGCTCTCTTTGCTCTTGCGCCGGGGTTTTCAGCCTCCACAACTTGTAGGTGCTGTTGCCACGAGAAGCATGATTAAGCCTTTCAAAGCGCACCTAGCACTGCAGAGTCTAGAGTTTAAATTCTAGGGTTGAGGGTTTGTAGGGCTCGTGAACTTTAGAGATTTGGGATCAGCCCAGGCAAGGAACATTCGAAGTCTAGGCTGTCAAATGTGGTGCAGTGAGGATCGCCTCGTCCCCTGGCACGTGGCCGAAACGGTGTCCAGTCCTTAACTTCATGGTTCTTAACAGCACTAGGGTATGAGGGAATTAGGCGCCCCTTTTACAGGATTATATCTGGTACCTTACTCCCTCATTCCCTACTAAGAACCAGGACGTGAATCACGCCAAAGAAGCATGTCGACTTTCTTGCGTGCAGATCCTAAACCTTGAAGCCTTAAGCTTAAACCAAAAATTCCCCAACCACTTATGCATCTCCGCCCTGGTCTAACATCCCACAGTCACAGAGCTTCCCGCCGTGTTGGCATCCTTCCTGGGATACCCGCTATGGTATGTTGACCTTCTACCAAAGACCCCCAAATTCAGAGAACCCTCTCAATTGGATTGCAAAGCGTCCGTGCCTGGACCGAATGGGTTGTTCACACTTGGCGGCACCGGTAGCGGGGCCTCAAACAAACACACGCACACGCACACACACACACACACACAAAGACACACAAACACACGCACACCCACACACACCCACACCCACGGACAAACACGCACACGAACACAAACGCACACACACACACACACAGACAGACAGATAGACAGACTGACGCAGACACACAGACACACAGACAGTCAAACCTGAGCGAATCAGGCCGACGTGGAAACTTGTGAAACAGATTTGAAGGCACGTCAGTGCTGGCCGGGCAGTGATATCCCCCTCACTCACTTAGCTTGGCTGGGCATGGTCTGTGAGTGAGGGCCATGCCCCCCTGCTTGAACTCATGCTAGACAGAGGTTGTCCTACACACGAAGCCACAAGGGCAACTTGAAACACAAAGCAGAGAGACAACGAGAAACTGTGACATCCCTGGTCAGACGGCTGGCGGCTTCGCCTTGAAACTTCGTTAAGACGAAAAAGCAAGAAAGCAGAGAAAACTCTTTTCCGAAATAGCTTTGGACACGGAAATTGAGAAGAAATAGGAATTGCATGACGAAATCTGACGGTATGCCACCAAAACAGGCATCCGTCATATTGCTCCGCGGAGCAACTCGAGACGAAAGCAGCGAAAAGCAAACACAGATTAACAGAATGAAGGAATGGATGGCGCATTCAGTTAGCAGGTCTTACGTGAGCCTGCGGCAGCCCCGAAGCGACTGTCCATAAGCTCAGCATCGACGGATCGCAGGTCTTACGCATCACTTCGCTCTCATGAGCATTTGGAATCATGTGACCACAAAGACATGGTGCCGGTGTAGGCTCGGGAGGACCACCACTTAGCTTCGCAGACTTGGCCGCCGACACAGCACTCCAAAAATATGCTTCCTGACAAAGCATGTCACGGCAAGCTGATAGTTCTCTTGGGTCTATTCAAGGCGATCAATGTTGTCCACTCAGAACATGCTCATCTGAGGTCCATTCAGGACATGACGAGTTCTGAGGTCCACGACAGGACAACCATCTGCTGAGGTCCGATCAGGGTCAATCAATGATGGGCCTGGCCATCCTATCGCTGGTGTGGCGATCAACGAAATGCACCTGGAATACGCTCATGGAACCCTCCCTCTGTTGTCCCCTATCTCAGTTCACATGCTTCTGCATTCAGAGGTCTGGATCAAGTCAAACCTGAGCGAAACAGGCCGACGTGGAAACTTGTGAAACAGGTTTGAAGGTACGTCAGGGCCGGACACTGATATCCCCCTCACTCACTTAGCTTCGTTGGGCAGAGTCTGTGAGTGAGGGCCATGCCCCCCTGCTTGAACTCTTGGTAGATGGAGGTTGTCACAGACACACACACACACACACACACACACTCCCACACACCCTCGCACACGCTCACACACGCTCACACACATGCACACTCACACGCACACTCACTCTGACTCACTCTCACTCTCACTCACTCACTCACCCGCACAGCAGAACCACGCAGCCCGACCCTTTTCCTCATCTCTCGCTGAGAGGGTCTCCTGTGATCTGGTGAGATTTTCCTTCCCCAGATTGCGCAGGAGGGTGTTTTGTGGAAGTGGTGTGTAGCAGTTCGGGTGGCATGTGGGTCCATGTCTGGGACGGTGCCACTGCCGAACTGTTGGTGGGTGACGCGGGGTTGGGGTCGTCGTGCCCGGGATACTGCCGACCAGTGTGGCCGGAAAGGTCATGCCCGACTGGATGGTCACGCTGACAGCATTTAGCAGTGTCAGTGTGTTGTGGCCAGGTAGGCGGCGAGCCAGAGAACAGGAAACCCAAGCCGGAGCGAGAAAAGGAGATGCACATGCCGAACACATCAGCTGCACACGCCGTCCTGCGCATTACCAAACTAGTGCACACCCTGAGAAGGAGGTCGAAATAGAAGAACAGAATAGTGGAGGTAGATTTGTCATGGTTGCATCGCTTCACGCAGACCTGTACACATTTCATGCACTGCACATGCGCTCCCGGGAGAACTGATATCAGGGCAATCAGAGCTCGAATGCTCCTTCACAGAGGGCTGCCCCACATGGGACCGACACGTCGCTGCACCGGGCATAAAGATTACGCACACCAAAGTCTAAATGGTTGTGTTTGTAGTGTTTCCAGGGTTGTGGCTCGCCGGGGTGCAGAAACAACAAGATTGTTGGGCGCTGAGGGCGGCTTTGCTTGCAGCCACAGGCGTTTTTTGCAGACTTCTCCCTCACTCACTTAGTTTCGTTGGCATGGTCGGTACCATGCTCCCCTGCTCTGAGATCGATTCAAAATTCCAGATCCACTCTGGACATGCAGCAAACGCTGCATGGTTGCTGTTAGGTAGTGGCACATTGCGTCAAGTTGCGACATGTTGCGCCGACTTTGCCCCAAGTAGCATCATGTTGCGGTGACATGCGTGTGCAGTGCGGCATGTCGCGCTATGTTGTGCACATCAAGAATCATGCAACTTGCACAAAAACTGGCGTGGCAGTTCACACACACACACACCTACAAGACGAAGGGGAGTCGAAAAGGTTCAAGGTTGAGGGTTCAGGGTTTAGGCTTCTCTTTTTCAAGTTTGCGGTGTAGGGTTTACGGCGCTTTGGAGTGAAATGTTACAGAATTTGGGCTTTTATGGGGCCCAGGGGTTGGTAAATGCTGGCAAAGCACCTCATCAGAGAACATGACACAGCTGGCTGAGAAGGCCAGCTGGTTAAAGGTCTTCGAGACGATCATGGCAAGCGGGGGAAATGCCCTTGAAAAGCGGTAGTAGTAGATCCTCTCGCTGTGCAAGTTGGGGAGGCTGTATGAGAAACCACCATCCGCACCACGCCTCTTGGGATAAAGCGTGGCTACCGCTCCGGCGTTGGATCGGAGCCCCACCGACATGGAATCCACGATCCATCTGGATGTGGATGAATGCCTTGGCCGGCTGTGTAGAAAAACCCACGAAGGAAGGTTCTCAACCAGGCTTCCTTGGCAAGACACAACAACACAAGTGCCAACCAAGATGCGAGGGCAGTAATGGCCCGATCCTCCCCGTCTGATTCTCTTCCACCGTCACACTGCATGCCGGACCCTTTACGGTTTCAATGTCAAGGGTCGGAAGGGTAAAAAGAGGGATGGGCCAAGGAACAAATCGGTAAATCTCGCGCGACCCGCCACCCCAGTCACAGAACCGGCTGCCCCAGAAATCCTCCAGCTCACACACGAATCGAATGACGATGACAAGTGGCTTGATACTTAGTTCAAATTTCGTGAAATGCAGCGCGTGCTCTGCTCCCGAGGTGAGTGTCAGAAGCTGGGGTGGAAGAGTTTCAGCTTGTGCTTCGAAATGCAGAAGCTGTGTCTCAAAGTTCAGCGCCCAGCCAAAGGCGCCAGGGATGCCCAACTCGTATCCCATGCGAGCACCTGCAGCGAGTGACAAGCTACCTGTCCAGAGTTGCGTGGGCTCCCACGTCGCAGACTTTGTCGGCTCTGACATGACCGACTGCCACTCCCCACCGCGAAGCTCGAAGCCAAATGACCTTCGGTACTCGAAGTTCACAATTGCCCCGAAGCCCTTTGAGGAAATCGTGCCCTCAAGGAACAGGATCAAGTGATCTGGAATCAGCTCCAACAATAATCCAGGCCCAAGTCGTGATAGCAGCTTAAAGGCTGCTTTGCTCTTCCCCAGCATCCTCGCGAGCACATCCAGCTCAAGGTTCAGCCACTGCTTCTCAGTATCCGGTAATACATGTAGCTCGCAAGACGCGGAAACCACCACTTCGACATTGAAGCTCAGGTGAACTGAGAAGACAGAGTCTATGTCGAACTTAAGCCTTGTATTCAATGTCGGCAACACGGTGCAGGACGCCAAGTTGTCGAAGCTTCCGCTGAGCGAAGGAAGGGATAGCGACAAGCTGGATTCCGATAGTCGCCGTGCGGCGGCTTCCATGCCCTCGTTGGCTGTATCATTGGTGCGGTTGGTGGTCTCGTCGGGGCCTAGTTGAAGGCTGGCATCCACATGCATGCGCTGGAAGACTTCGAAGACGCTCACCGCATGAGCCCAAAGCAACACCGAGGACTCGGACAAGTACTCCAGATCTTCGACCACGACCAAGAAAACATCCTCCTCGCTGCTCGTCCCGCTCACACAGGCCCCGACCTCCAGCGTAGGAAGCCGGCCAGCCCAGGCTGTGAGGGTCACAATGCGGCCCGCAGGGTCATGGGAGCTGTTGCGGAAAGATACCTCCAAGGTGGCGCTATGGCCTTGGTCACGACAAGAAGGGCTTTGAGTTGGGGGGGGCGGGGGGTTGTGTGAAAGCGAGCCGTGCAAAATGGGTCCCTTCGAAATTTTCAACACGCACATTAAGCACAAGACATCCCAAAACCGCCCAAGCAGCTCACTTCCACCAGGGCTGCGATGTTGTCTGCCAGAACAGGATCTTCTGCGGCCACCACTACGTGGGTGGCTTGGCGGTTCTTGGACATTTGGCCTGATGCCAGGGCCAGAACCAATAGGGAGAGCGTCGAGTTCGGTTCGGCCTCCAAACTTGTGTTGAGCACACCCCCACTGTGCAGAAGGACCCCACTGGCATAGTTCCACAAGGAGGCTTCCGTGTCGAGCCCTGTGAAATTCTGTTCACCGTCAGCATAGAGCAAGGCATACTGAACCGATGGGTCACTTTGGCCCCTTGAGTTCTCACCTGGACTGTTTACCACGGCAGGAGGCCAGGCCACGACAACCACACCCGCACGGTCAGAAGCCGCGAAGGAGATGCCCTTGAACACCACTTCGACGGCTACAGCAGCGGTGGTGGTGGTGGTGGTGGTTGTTGGGACTTCCTCCGGTGACATGAGGGCCCGCCACAACTGTTGGGCATCTTCCTCCTGCACGTCTAGCCATTCATCTGTGCCACCTCGAGCAGCTCGCGCTAGCCGTTGCATGCTGGATGGCCAGTCTGGGATGTAGCGCCGAGACACACGGTCATAGCAACACCGCACGAAATGAGGAAACCGCATGTCGCTCTCTCTGCAATCTGCATGAGGTGGCAAACCTCGCCGCTCCTGACCGAGCCGTCCAATTAGTCTTAGCCCGTTTGGCTGCACACCCATGGATGACCTTGGGCAGGGCTGCCGCTCTTCAAGATCTCTGCGAACCATCTCTAAGTCCTCGTTGGCGCCCACATCGTACCAAGTCGCCAAGGCCTGGACAGGGTCCCAGCCTTGCAAGCATGAGAGCAACATCTTGTGAGATGTGCAAGACTTTAGCGATGCTGCGCAATGCCCGGCCGAAGAAACGCGGACTGCTGGCGGCGAATTTCTAGGAGATAAAAAGTTTGGTGTAACCGAATCGCAATTTTATGGGCTGCTATAAAGGACTTCTCCAAATTAGCCATGGGCAGGTACTCTGAACAAATTCTCCATGAGCTCCTCTCGATTGGCAACCCTAACCTTGCCACATGACACTACCTACATTAGTAGCAAAAATCAATACAATGTAGCGTCTCCCATTGGTACAAGTCTGCCCCTGACTCTAGCGTATATATAAATATATATATATATATATATGCTACCCCCCCCCCCAGCGACCTACCCTTTTTAGGCCTTTTTAGGCCTTTTTAACAAAAAATAACAAAGAAGGCCCAAAAGTCGCGTAGTTAATCACCGGGTAATGAAGGACAGTTACTGGGACACCCACCTCACAGACCCCGATAAGCCAGCATTGGAAGAATCTACATTTTGAATCTGAAGCGGACAATGCTGTTTTTAGATGTTTAGATCAGTGTTTGTCTATGCAAATTGTGCCTTTCAAGGGCAATTAATGTCTTGTTGAGCAACTAATTTATTTATACAATTGTGTTTGTACGAGGCAAAGTATTAATCAAATAGTGAAACATTTTTCTTGGTTCTATGCGAATTTAGCTACTAGAGTAATTATTCAGCAAAGAGCCCAATTTGACTCAAGTGAATACTATTTAAAGGAGCATACTCAACCAAGATACGAAATAAACACCATTCTCAACCAAAAAATGGCAAAGTGTGCATTTAAATTGCAAATACTGTGTTTATACAATTGTGTCTGTACTAGGCAAAGTATGCTCTCTGAAAAGTCCACTGAAATACCTTATGTTTACATATTCATGAATCGTTTTTATTTTTGAAGTAATCATTTTATGCGAATTTAGCTACTAGAGTAATTGTTAAGCAAATAGCCCAATTTGACTCAAGTGAATACCATTTAAAGGACCATACTCAACCAAAATACGAAAGAAGCACCATATTCAACCAAAATATGGCAAAGTGTGGTTTAAAGGGCAAATAGTGCTTTGTTGAGCAACTAATGCATTGAAACAGTTGTGTTTATACCAGGCAAAATATTATTGAAGTACTATCTGCAAAGTCAAATGAAACACCTTATGTTTACATATTCATGAAACAGTTTTTTTGAAGTATTCATTCTATGCGAATTTAACTACTAGAGGAATTCTTAAGCAAATAGCCCAATTTGACTCAAGTGAATACAATAATGGAAATAGAAGCGGTTCTACTTACATAACGATGAAACAAAGATTTCTGAAGTATTCAATAAAGACCACATATATACGATGCTTGAAAAACGCAACTTGCACAATCAGGCTTAAAAATGCACAAGAATCCTAGAAAAGTACTTAGTGAAGGCCATACACAAGCAAATTCACAAATACATAAAAACATCCAAAAGCGCAAGCTTTTCAGGAGAATCTCTGGTAAAGTTTGGATTATAGGGTTTTGGGGTATTCCTGGACGAGTAGGCGTCACTTTTTAAGCAAACAATTCTAAGCAATAAATGCTTTTTCTCAAGACAAGTATTGCAAATGCTGCTTCTAGATAATTAATCGCATTTACCAGGCAAATATTATCCATGCGAATTGAGCTACCAGAGCACCAAGTAATGGCTGAATAAGGTCTACTACACTTGAGTACAACCAAAAGATGCACTAAACACTAGCGGCTCTACTTACATAATAACGAAACAAATAGTTCTGAAGCACTAGAAAGACCACTTGTATACTATTTCTGAAAAGCACAATTAGCATAAGCACACTTAAAACTGCGTAGTTGTTGCCTCGTGACCGTGAAGTGAAGGCGAACCAAAAAGCCAAAATACCAAAACCAAAAAACCAAAAATACCAAAACCAAAAATTCCTAAAAAACCAAAACCAAAAAAACCAAAAATACCAAAAAAACCAATTTTCCGGGACTCTTGGAGAAGCCTCATAGGGATTTCCTGAGAGTCCCGGAAAATTGGTTTTTTTGGTATTTTTGGTTTTGGTTTTTTTGGTTTTTTTGGTTTTGGTTTTTTGGGTTTTTTGGTTTTGGTTTTTTGGTTTTGGTTTTTTGGTTTTTTTGGTTTTGGTATTTTTGGTTTTTCTACTGTCCCGTGTATGCGATTTTAGTTGTATTTTAGTCTACGCCCTAGGAAATACGCTATATTGCACACCGAGTTTGCTTGCAGTGCAGCTGGGTGACTTGAGACAAGGCGAAAAAGGGTAGGTCACTGGGGGGGGGGGGGTACCATATATATATATATATATGCGTATATATATATATATGTATGTATGTATGTATATATATATATGAATACAGATACATATATATATACATACATACATATATATATATATATGTATAGGGTACCTCTACTTATCGGAAACTCTCACTTGGTTTGCGACGCTGCTGCCCTCCAGATCTCTTCGGCGTGTGATTTTCTGGGTGTGATGCAACAAACCTGTACGCAGAACGACCCTGCTGAAGAACCTCGAACACGGGCCGTTGCCGCCCCCCGCCTGTGACTTCGCTCCTCTGTGCGCCAGCACGCGATTCAACAAAGTGCGTGGGCTGACCATCTCTCGGACCCCCGCCAGCAAATCCACTCCTGTTCGTGAAGTCTAATGCAACCGTGGTCGAAGTTCCTTCAACAAGGCCCTTCAACTGCTGAGAATCCTGAGCCATATACTTCCCTAAGCCTTTTCTCAACCCTGTACCACTGCCTTCCCGCAGTCTGTAGAGGTGTGGCCGGCCATCAGTCTCCACAGCGACCATGTGCTGCAGCAGACGAAGGCTGTACAATTTATCCGCCACCCATGGATGATCTTCCTCCGAGCCCCGGATGGCAATGAAGCCGTGCTCGAATGAATAGGTCTTCATCGTCTGGTGTAGAAGACCTTAACAGGCCATGCGAAGCTAAAAGAAAGAATTCAGTTACAGAATGGGATAGTTTGACAAGACAATAGACAAGCTATGCGATGAGTTGCCTTCAAACTTAACTGAGGGGCATGTCGCATTGAAGTCAGGCAGGACCAGGATGTCCCCGAGCCTGCATTTGGCAGTTCTTCCACGAGAAGAATCGAATGCAGCTGCATGCCCTGACCACTTCTTTTTGCATGTCCTGTGCTGTAAGCTGTTGTGCTACTCATTTCTGGACCCTCCCTCATGTCATGCAGGGCACTGTGGGACTTGGGTTGCCTAGCACCGGTCAGCTGCCAATCAGAGGCAATCTCTTGGAAGCCGGCGAGGATCAAGTACCTGGCTGAAGGCCCCGAATTCCTGTGTATCCCCGCTAGGGACCTCCCACCTGTCATGACTATCCATCCAACCCACTCTCTAGGCTTAAAAACCAAAACTCTGGACACCCGAACTTGGAGTCTTAACCCTTTCCCTCCAAGACTCCTTGACGCAGCATGTGGGCTCTCTTCTACATTAGGGTTCTGCGAGATTCCCAAAGCCCCTAAGCAAGGATGCCCCCAAAACGAGCGACCCTCCAAACTGTGTTGGACATCGTGACTTAGGGTTTTAGCTTCGGGGGCAAGCTCGAGTAGACAAGATGCTTACCAGCATCTTTGGCCGCTGCGCTCCACGCATAGAAGCAGCGGTCGTTGCGGAGCCGGTCGGATGATGTACAAAGTTTCTCGTCCCCAAAACCTGGCAGCTGCAAGGGCTTCTCTTCCAAGGGGGAAGAGAAGTCTCGCAAATTCTGGCGAACGATGCATGTTTTTAACAACAAGGGAGGCCAACAAAAACAATAATTTCCCTTTTGGCATGACACCCGGCGTCTGGATTCCAGCAGCGTGCAAGGCCCAGCGAACGACCGCCAAAGCGGACATTGTTCCATCTCTTGCAGCGTTGCTCGCATAGTCGAGCAAGGTACGCACCTGATCTACCCAAAGGTGCAGCCCACTCGTTTCTCAGGATGTACTTAACAGGGCTGGCAGATGTTGCGGAAGGGCGGTTTTGACAAGGTGGGTTTGTTTGATAAGGTGTGGCTCGGGACTTCTTTCTAAATACTGTAAGTTACAGTATTTCGGTGAACTCGCAAGAAACCGCAAAGTACACCACTTCCGAGCTTTCGAAGGTCTGTGTTTTCGAATGTTCCCAAAGCTGTAAATTACACTACTTGTGTGCCTTAAATTCGGGGAGAGCTATCAAAAAATTAAATGACGATCAAAAAACAAACAAATAACTATCAAAACAAAATATTCGTAATTCGTATAAGCAGAAAGAGAAACGCAAATAAAGTAAGAACACGAAAGAAATAAAGAAAACATGAATAAAAGAGAGAAAACAAAGAAAGAAAGAAAGAAAGAAAGAGAGAGAGAAAGAAAGAAAGAAAGAAAGAAAGAAAGAAAGAAAGAAAGAAAGAAAGAAAGAAAGAAAGAAAGAAAGAAAGAAAGAAAGAAACAAAGAAACAAACAAAGATAGAAAGAAAGAAAGCCCCCAACCCGCTTCGTGTAGGCCGTGCAAAGCGTGCTTGAAAGCCTAAGAATCTTGTTGAAATCCATCATGTGAGCATTGTGTTTGCAAAGGGGGGGGGGGGGCTGCGCCCACCCCCCAACCCCCCCCGCTTGATTTAAGCCGTGCAAGCGTACTTCAAAGCCTATGAATCTTTTTGAAACCCGTCCTTAGATAATTAGAAATCCTACGAAAAGTAGTATGAATCCTCTGGAAATATGGTGGGAATGTAGCTCTTTCCCAGGAAAAACCAAGAAATCAAACCAAAATAAGAATTATTAAGAAATCCTACGAGAAGTAGTATGAATCTTTTGAAATTATGGACGGAATGTAGCTTCTTCCAACGTAAAACCAAGAAAACGAACCCAAAAAAAACATGAACGAAAAGCAGTATGAAACCTGTGAAAATATGGAGGGATGTAGCTTTTTCCTAGGAAAAACCAAGAAAACGAACCAAAAATGAAGAATTAATAGAAAATCCTACGAAAATAGTATGAATGATAGGAAGATATATGGACAATGTAGCTTTTCCTTAGGGAAACCCAGAAAACGACCCCATAATTATTTTGTGATAGTTATTTAATTGTTTTTTTGATAGTTGAAGTTTAATTTTGTTTTTTTAAATGTTTTTTTGATAATGTTTTTTTGATAGTTCACCCCCTTAAATGCTCCAAATGCCATAAATTACGCTAGTTCTGTGCTTTCGAATGCTTCCTACATGCTGTCAGCTGCAGTTTCTGTTTTTTTGAATGATCTGAATGCTGTTAACCACACGGCTTATATGTATTCGAATGCTCCAGATGCTGTAACCTACACTACCTCTGTCCAGTCGAGTGCTCCAAACACTACGAACTACACTACTTCTGTCCTCATGACTGCTCTTTATGCTGCAATTGTACTGCTTCTGTGCTCTGGAAGGCACCAAGACACCAAGAGCTATGCGCAGTACTTGCGAGCCTTCCAAAACTGCACATACTTCTTTGATGTACATTGCAGTAATTTCGCTTGTGCAAATGATTTCCGTGTGGAAATGCTGCACAGTACTCAATTTCACTGCTGCCAAACAAACTGTATCTGCGCACTCGAAGCCTCCAGATGTCAATCTTGCACTACATCTATGCTTGATAGAAATTGTTTAAGGCTTTAGGGGGTTTAGGGCTCAGAAGTTTAGAGTTCAGGCTTTGGGGGGGCGGAGGGGAGATCACAGCGCCGAACCATATAACCCCTTTTTGCAACCAGATCGACTCTTGCAGGCCATATAACCCCTAAATCCTGAAACCCCCGCCTTCTGAAGCCAATCCCAGGATGCTGCCACTGGAGACTCGGGGGGGAGCACTGCGGGCTGTGTCCAGGACGACTCTTCTGGGATGCTGGAGCTGTCGCCATCGGCTAGGTCAAGCACCATGTAGCAACGAAGAGCCAGAAAGACCATAGCCTTGTCGGAGCTGGGTTTAGGATTTAGGGTTCAGGTACGCAAAGTTCTGTTAAGCATGCAGGCAGGCGCAGGGTTGGGAACGCGGTGCAGGGATCAGGGTGTTGAAACAGCAGAGCCTCATGAAACGGATTCTCCTCCAAAATGATTGGAGGACCTGGCAACAAGGTGCGCCCGTAGTGCCGATACCAGTTCCGCCAACACTTGTTGGGGCTTGCGGCGCCGATCACGTTGAAGTCGCGGCTAAGGGCGATGTGGCCACAACACAAACCACCCTCGTGTCCTGAATTTACAGGATTATTTGTCCGAATATAAGTGTGATTTTGTGTAAATATCCAGCTAAGCGCGAGATAAGAGTCGCGCGTCCGGAACCGGCGCACGCCTACATCTAGCTTGCTCTCGAACGTCATTGTTGTGTTTTCAGTCTTCGACCAGAGGCTCACAGAGTAGAGCCCGCTCTTCAAGAGGGGAGTGGCGCATCTCAGGTGACCGTCAGAGCCCCTGTATACAGAGTTGGAGCACTGGCCAGCAAAGCAGCAGGATGGCAGGGTCTCACCAAGGCAAAAACCTTTGAAAGTGAGGAACCGACGCGTCCTCTCGGGCACTGCTTTGGGAAAGAAGTTCACCTGGCCAAAGCACTCAGGCCTCTCCAGCCAAGACACGAGAAAGCCGCAGAGCTCTTCAGAGAAGCCTGCCAGCCCCTGCTGCCAGCCAACCGAAATGGAGAATTCCGAGCGACCTGACTCTTCCCCGCCCAGGTGGAGAATCTTCCCGGGGAGCTCCGAGAGCATCTCCGCGGCTTCCCCGAGCCCACCCTCGCACAGCCCCACCAACACAAGCAGCCCGTCCGCCTCCATCTGCGGCTGCAACACCGACCCAAGAGTAGAGCAGGGCCGTGCCCCCAGTGAGGCTGAGCCCAACCAACGGTTGAAAAAGGCCAGCGCCTGGGCTGGGGAGGTGGCGTTCAGTGTGGCATTTTCGCCGTTCCAGGGGACCAGGCGGATGGGGATGTGCCCTGAAGGGAATAAGCTCATGAGTAGGTCCACCAAGGAGAGCGCGGTGGTGGCAGCTGCTCTGTCCCACTGCAGCATCTCTATGGACACACTTGGCATTGTCCTGTTCCCTGAAAGCACAAGCTCTGGACACATGATCTGGGGAGCGCAATGCACCGAACCTTGGAGCCGACCGTTGGCTGTGATGTGTACTGTCAGTGAGCTCAGCGTGGAGGATGCGCAGCTGCCGAGCCCAAAAGCAAGCCCAGCATCGCCTGCATCTGCTACAGTCCTCAGAAATCCGCTGTGCGCAGCTCGATGCACGAAATGGCCAATGCGGATGGCACGGTGACAGCTTGCATCAATGAAGTTCGGAGACCACGTCACGTTTGTGCTGTGCAATGCAAGCACCTCTGTATCTGCAAAAGCAAGACAAGGCTCACACGTGCCATTCCGGAACACTGACATCAACTCAGCGCGACATGCCTCGCAGTTCGGGCCAGTAAAAGGCCAGAAGCAATCGCAGCGACATGCACCATCTCGTGAAGCCCCAGACCTGTGCCTCACGATGCCACGACCACCACACTGGCCCACGTCGACGCAACAGGAAACAGAAAGCTGGAACGCCCCCTCAGCTGTTCCATGGCCGTCAACGACAACATCGTAGCACCACCCCGGTGAGAGGCCGGCTACTTTGAGCTCCGCCATGGGCCAGCATGATCCACACTGATCGCAGGATCGCCAGAGGTCCTGACCCATGACATAGAGGGAAGTGTCAAAGGAGGAGCCACATGTGCTGAAGAAGACTTCACCAATGCCCTCAGGCGCACAGAAGATGTGCTTTGCATCACCGGACTCGTGGCCCAGACTGCTGGTCCGGCCCACGGTGGAGTCAGCCACTGAGCTGCCACAAGTCAAAACCACGGCCGTTGCTGAGGTGGTCGTGCCCATGGTGGTGGAAGTCTGAGTCCCGACTGTCTGGTATGCACGGATTGCATCCAGCATCTGACCAAAGTCCCCTACGAAGCTATCCCAGGTCATCCCACTTGGGTCATACCCACGCATCAGCGCGTCTTCAAGAACCTGGCCACTCTGCAACCTCTGCTGGACATCGTACATCACAAAGAAACCTCTCCCCGTGCTGATGAAATTTGTCCACTCCCTGTTGAACCACCCGACCCTGCACTGACCGGCGCAGCTATCCTCCTGGTACGTGCCATGGTGGAAGATTGGCTGCAGGACAGAAGCCAGGCCGGAGAGTCGCAGATTCCTAAGTAGCCCCGAAAGCCAGAAAGAAGAAGGGGCGGCCACCCTGGTTTGGTCAACGGGCATTTCTGAAGAGAGAGCCTAACTGGCAGCCTAACCCATCATACCAAAAGAAAATACGGGGCACCACATGGTGCTACTACCTGCTGGTTCTGAGCAGGGAATGAGGGAACGGTATCATAGATTATCCCTTAAAGGGTGTTTTAGCGGGATATAAGGTACCTAATTCCCCCATTCCCCTACTCAGGACCAGCAAGACGAGGTGGCCGAGAATCTCTGGGCCTCTCCCGCAAACCTGAGCGAGCGCTTCATCGAGCGACGAAACATTCCAGGCAAGGGATGTGTGAGACAAATCCACTTCCTGCAATGTCGAGCTATGGTACGAGATGTGGCAAGCGGCAGAGAGGAAGTTGACCCGGTCGAGATGTTCCAGCGTTGTGATCGAAGAGATCAACAAGCTGATAAGATTGTTCAGGAAAGTGACATTGCTGAGCGACTGGCTCGGGCTGTTCAGAGCAACGCGGTTCCTGTAGAAGAGCACGTCCTGGAAGGTAGCGGGACTGCCCCAAAAGCTATCAAAGCCGATCTGGTTATCCACAAATATCGACTGCTCAACAGCATGGAACCTTGGCCAAACAATACCACGCAAGTGCAGCATGAACCAGCATCGCTCCAAGTGCATCTGACCATATCGGATCCCAAAGGAGTTGCGGAAAAAGACGGAATGCTCAACTTTACCAGCAGTGTAGAAGGAGAACAACAGCGCGTAGTCTGTGTCCATGAACAGACTGTTGGAGATGTGTATGGCAAGCTCCCCTCCGCCTCCTCCGCCTGAATCTGAAACACACGACTTCAGACCATTGCAAACGACCGTGTCCAGCAGAGCGTGTGCGATGCCCGGGCCGTTACGCAACGTGATGGCAGAGATCTCGGGGGGCGTCTCGGTGAGTGCCCCATCTAAGAAGCCGCCGTGCTTTCCCCGTAAGCCGTACCAGCCCCGAAACGGACTGACGAAGGCCGCGCGACGCACGACCAGGCTGGCGCCGGGTCGCAGCTGGATGGACGCATTCTGGTGCAGAAAAGTCAGCACCTCGTGGCAAGCTCACAGAGTGGGGCGAACAGCATGCGGGTGCTACGATTCAGTGCTTGTGAGACCCTACAAACCCTGTCAACCCTATAAACCCTACAATGTCCCTACAAACCCTATACACCAAGCCGTTGATCATCGGGGCTCGGGCCGCTGTAGCATTGGCCCCGTCAATGGTCAGCTTCGCCCCTGGCACGATGGTGACCAGCTCCTTTGGCTGGGGTTGTTTGGGTTGTTCGGGTTGTTCGGGTTGTTTGGGTTGTTTGGGTTGTTTGGGTTGTTTGGGTTGTTTGGGTTGTTTGGGTTGTTTGGGTTGTTTGGGTTGTTTGGATTTTTAGGGTTTATAGGGTTTATGGGGCTTATAGGGTTTATAGGGTTCAGGGTTTAAGGCTTCGGGTTCAGGACTTAAGGTTTAGGGTTTAGGGTTTGTAGGTTTAAGGGCTCAGGGCTATTGAGGGCGTAGGGGCTACATGGGGGATTAGGGCTTCGGACTCTTTGGGGTGAAGGGTTTTTATAACTATACAAGGCTTTTGAAGTTTAGGGTTTACCTTTACGGTAGTTTAGTGTTTGCGGGGGAACGCCGGCCCAATAAGGACCAAGCCACTGACAAGGAATGAGAGCCTGCGCCCCAAGTTGTATTCGCGCATATACTGACTGGACTAGTCACCATGATGTCATTGCACGTGTTGGCGAGCAAGCTGTGTAACAAATCTGTCCATGTCGAGCTGCTGACAAGCGTTCTCGAGTAAAGGAAGCCCAAGTAAGTCACACGACCGCGGCCCTGGGGAGATGTCCACGCGACAACACCCCCATAACTGTACCCATCATCTGTCAGAGTTTCATTGGCAGAGTAAAGTCCATCAACGGGCGGTAAGGCAAGAGAAGCCATCTGGATCGCGGCGGCTCTTTCCAAACCATGAGGCCAGGTCCTCAACCGACATTCCAAACTCTGTGGGCCATCACCGAAACCTTGGCAGCTTCGTAGCCGGGACTCTGCATGCGTGGAGCCCAGCTCGGTCCACACACCGGCTGATTCCAATCTCCAGCCCATGAGCTCGTTCAGAAGCTCCACCGTATGCTGTCCAGCATTCTCGGAGGTGTCAGGGCCAGGAAAGACGATGAGGTGCAGGCCCTCCTGCGCCACATGGAGTGGTCCTATCCTTGAGGCTTGAAGCCCTCTTCCGCTAAACGCTGAACCCTACAAGCCTAAACCCATCATACTGCATACAAATTGAGTCGGAATGGCCTCCTAGCCATCACTGAAGGTATTGCACTGGCATTCCATGCATGCGAAACTTACACACTTGAAGCTCTCGTCCTGAATGTGCCGACGAAGTTGTGGCAGCACTCCGGCAGCCAGGCTTGAAACCAAGGATGTGCGAAGGCTTGGGATGATGACGGATGTCCTTTCAGGCATGTCACCAAGAAGCTCGGATCCCATCTGAGACGCCGAAGTCCACGTAAGCAGATGCTCCGGGTTCTCCACCGACATCACCTGCGAAAGCTGGGAAGCAGCATCGGAGTCCACGACCGAGCCGCTGAGAAAGCGAATCGGGCACCCCGCTGCGTAAGCCAGGCTCAGGGTCGCTACTAGGATCCTCGTGGCTCGCCACATTGCAGCATGAAGCGCCCTGCCCTCCCCACTCCCGACAAATCGTCAGACAACTTCGATCACTACACCCAGCACATTTGCTACTTGAACATGGAACCCTGAGATAGAACCTCCTGTGATTCTCTTGGGTGGAGTATGGGATGACTGGACGGCTCCATTTCTTGGATGTTTGAGGGGGTCTGGGTACATGTGTAAAGCATTCATGTCGCTGTATCACCCCTCAATCTCAACCCTAAACCCCCACACATGCACCACCTTGAGACATGCTTGGACCACAAGTATTGGGGAATTATCCTCCTATAAGGGTCCCATTTTGGGAACATGTACTTTGATCAACTGCCATGTGACGTGCCGGCGGAATTAACGAAGCCAAAAGCACTAGGGCTTCTGCCACCTGAATCTGCTCGGTTTGGGGAAAGGGGTTCCTAAGTCTCGAGTTTGGGGCGTGTTGAGGGTGCATTCTTTGGGGTTTCTGGGTCACTCCCTGTATCTTATGTCGCGCCTGCCGCCTCATCTGTTCCCTAACCTCGCATCGCATCCTGCTTCAGTAGTATCTTCGCCCTCACCTTATTCATTCTCTCTCTTCGGTCGCCCTCTTTCGCTTCATCCTTTCCCTCATCCTCCCCATCACCTTTGCTTTCTTTCCTCGACTTATGTAATGCAAGTAGCTTTTTGCCTCTCTGTGTGCGTGCGTGTGTGTGTCTCTCTCCACTGGCTTCGTTGCCCTTTATCGTCATATCCCCTCTTCTGTTTTCTAGGATCGGTTTCTCAAGGCTTCCAAAAAAGTATTCATGGTTCAGTGTATAGGCCGGAGGCCATGATAGTTGCTGAGTTTCTGGGCTGGAAACTTGGCGGCGGCGCGCCGCTTTCTGAGCCGCTGATGTAGTGGTTTTGGCCTCTTGGAACAGGCTCAATGTCTGTGCTTGGTTGCTTGACTTGCGCTTCTTTGCATCAGCGTGCTGTACACCTGCTTACCCGGGTTGTGCTCCTGAGAAAACTGCTATTCGTAAACTGGAAATTTTGGGGCGGACACATGAAGCAGGGACACAATCAACATACCTCAAGTGAACCGGATGATGACATGCTAGCGAGTCCCCGCACGCAAGACGCAAGATCCTGGCCATCTCCATGACAGCCTGAAACAACTCCCTTGAAGATTGAATCATTGGGGATTATTGCCGAGCCCAAAGTTGTCTCAAAAAATTCGATTTCCACAATTGACGTCCCAATCCTCTATCCAATAGTGACCTAGTAATTGAAGATCAATAGTTTCCGGTCTCCTGAATTAGTCCCCAAGACCTTCTTTCCGTTTTGGTGCAAGGGGTAGTTTCGGGTCGGTCAGGACTCTGGCCCTTGGGTCCACAGACAAGACCGCAAGAGCCTAGAAGCCGGTCGACTCTGGCCGACAAGGAAAACTGCAAAGAGCCCAAAGCCAGAAGACATCAACAGCTCTCTCCCAGCGACTATTTGCCGAAGCAAGCCACGCTGGCCAGCCTCGTTTTCCAACTTACTCGGCAACCGAAGCTTAGGCCTAGGCTTTCTACAGAACTACAGACTTCCGGAAAACCTTGGCAAGCGCCCACTGTGGGCCCAAGTTGATGTGGATGCCACAGTCGACTTGTCGACTCTACAACTCCAGCTGTCTCCAGATATGAGCTTGGCCGCGCTCTGACACTCCTACCAGCAGGCGTACAAGAATCTGTGTGTTGATGCCATTGGTGCTACCTTCCACTGCTTATTTTGGTCGCTGCCAGGAACGGCCGCAGCCTGCGCACGAGCTAAACCAGTATCTGGCGGCAAGCTGGGCAGTGTGAGCACTACGCTCACAAATTTGGCCAGTAGCAGGGCTTGCACTGCATCACGGCGAAACTCCGTTGTAAGCTTGTGTGTGCCTTTCTCTGCTGGAGGAGCAAAATCACCAAACCAGGTCAGCCGCGGATTCGGAAACTGGAAACACGCGGATTCGGAAACTGGAGAAACCTGATTCTGGAAACTACAAAACGCGGATTCGGAAACTGAAAACGCGGATTTGGGAAACCAGGATTCGAGAAACCAGCTGATTCAGGAAACTGGAAAACGCGGATTCGGAAACTGGAAACCGCTGATTCAGGAAACTGAAAACGCGGATTCGGAAACCAGCTGATTCAGGAAACTGGAAAACGCGGATTCGGAAACCAGCTGATTCAGGAA